GGTACAAGCTTGTGAGTGCACTTCTGAGCACATGGCCCTTTCCCCTTTTAAGGACCTGCTCATCATGGCCTGCGACTAGAGATGACTTGGACACGTCTGGTTGTTCACACTCCACCTCGGGCAATGTCCATGCATTGGGTGTGTGAGTGCTGCCTAATTAGAGTCCCAGACACTTTGTCTACCTGGGAGCTCTTCTGATCTTCCAGCTGTTCAACCAGCCCATTTATCCCACAAGCATTCCAGGAGGGAGGGGAGGGGGAAAACCACTTCACAGGTATTCAGAGAGGGAGAGGAGACAAAAGGGGGTGGGGGGAAGTATAACAGACCTTTTGAGCATACTGGTTATACATAGCATAGCCATTCAGAGCATAGAGATCACTGCTGCTCCTACAAAGATGCTCAGTGCGCAGAGGTTTTCATTGAGCTGGCCACAGTGATGCCCTACATCATTTTTCAGAGTGGTTGCAGTTAATTTAGCACCCAGCAGTGTGCATGAGTAGTTCATATTATTCGGTCTGATATGAATTATCTTGCATATTTTAAGTGTTCTTTCATTATACATACATCTGGGAAATTAGTTTAAGATAGTGGCCATATGAAATTCTCTTCCACTGTTTTTAGCATGGACTGTACCAAAAATAATTGTACTTCTATGTAGCATTAGAAAGTTGGATAATAATCAGGGATTAGGCATTTTGTTATGTGATTAATTTCAAATTGTACAGTGCACATATTGCATATTTTTGTAGTAGTTACTGGATAATACTTCACAATTTTATGACTGAATACCATTTAATGGCAAAAAGAACAGGAGTACTTGTGGCACCTTAGAGACTAACAAATTTATTAGAGCATAAGCTTTCGTGGACTACAGCCCACTTCTTCGGATGCATAAGGTGCCACAAGTACTCCTGTTCTTTTTGCGGATACAGACTAACACAGCTGCTACTCTGAAACCTGTCATTTAATGGCAAGTTATTGGAACTGACTCAGTCAGTTATTTGCCATATAATCCGGAAAGCATACTTTAGTAACTGCTTAGGTTTTACTAGGTAAATACAGTATCATTTAACTACTTACCCTGCTACTAAATGATACTATATATTTGTAAATTGCTCCTGAATATAATAAACTTTCTTTTGTTTGTAACTTACATAGTTCAGTCTTTTGCTTCTTGGGATGAAAAATTTGCTGTGGTGATTTTTTTGTTTGTTTGTACTTCACTAATTATGTGAAAAGCCATTGTAAATTTGTAACTTTCCTTATTTGCACTCAAGATATTTCTTTAAACCAGAGTAATCCTTAAACAGGTAGTTAAGTGGACTAAATATTTAGCACAGCAATTTATTCTAAACTTTTATTATATCATTAATTTCTTTCTCTTGTAAATTCTTTTATGCTAGGTGTACTGGAAACAAATAGTCCTGCAGATAACGTTTCAGATGAAAAAGCAGCTAGCATATTACATGCAAAAGCCGAACCTAGACCTGCAATAAAACACCAAGGTGAGAAGAATAAAACCTTGTTCAGTACCTCAGAATTCCTTATTTGGATCTATGCTCCTGAGTACATCTAAGAAGTTAAGCTGTGGTTTTTTGGGTGCTTAATTCAGATGCTCCCCTATAATTTAATCTCCCTGTGTAACTACTAGTGAACTTCATAGTTCAGAAATCACACCTTTCCTAGTAAGGTCTTTACTCCCTACTGAAGCACAATGCCTTTCAAGTTCAAACTTGAAGATAGTAGGTGGTATGCTAATGAGTGGTAGAGATGAGCCACTCCACAACTGTTATCAAGTTGTATTCATGAATAATGCGATAATAGATTTGAGACCCTTGTTAGATATCCTAAAGCTTTATTTGTGGTCTATTTTTTTATGTGTGTCCTTCTTATGGTGACCAACCAACCAACTATTGTTTTTCTCCCCACAAACTGTGCTCTGTTGCTGGCATGCTGTGAAGGGGATACAAACAATGCTGAAAGGGAGAGGGAAGCGTGGTAACAGGCTACATTGTTGTTGCACTTGGACTCTAATTCAGGCAGAACTGTCAAAAGAAGCAATCGGCATGCTCCCTTATTTCCGAGGAGACGCAGGGCAGCTGCACCCCCATCTTGATGACTGTTCCCATCCAAGAATTGAGTGATTGCAGGATGTCCCCATTTGTTCAAGTGATTGGGTTTCCCCCTGCGTATCTACAGACTGTTGCAGCCTGCTAACCCTGTACAAGATTTTAGAGCAAATTCCATCTCCTCATCCTTATTTTACTATTTTAAAAACCCACTTAAGAGTTCCCGAGGATTATAATATGAGAATACCTAATTAACAGGGTAAGTAGATACTGTAACCAAATTAAAATTTACAAACAAATAAAAAATGCAGGCTAAACGGGCTGCAACAGTCTACAGATACGCAGGGGGAAACCCAACCACTTGAACAAATGGGAACATCCTGCAATCACTCAATTCTTGGATGGGAATAGTCATCAAGATGGGGTGCACCTGGCCTGTGTCTCTCCTGAGATAAGGGAGCATGCTGATTTCTTCTTTTGACAGTTCTGACTGCATTAGAGTGCAACAATAATAGTATGTATGTATCAAGTATCA